CCCTATGTCCCAATTCAGCAGGACCAACAGAAGCTCTGGCTTCCCCAACAGCACCTCAAAGAGGCCAGGGAACACAGCTATGAAGTATGAAAAAGTTAAATACCCCAGGAGTAGACTTCAATAAGAAATGGGACACACTAATATGAGGAATTCTTAATCTCAGGAAACAAACTGAGGGTTTCTGGAGTGGTGGGGGATGGGAGGCATGGAGTGGCTGGGTGATAGACACTGGGGAGGGTATGTGCTATGGTGAGCGCTGTGAATTGTGTAAGACTGTTGAATCACACACCCGTACCTCTGAAACAAATAATACATTATATGTTTAAAAAAAAAAAAAAGATAGCAGGAAGGGAAGAATGAAGGGGGGAAATCGGAGGGGGAGATGAATCATGAGAGACTATGGACTCTGAGAAACAAACTGAGGGTTCTAGAGGGGAGGGGGATGGGGGGATGGGTTAGCCTGGTGATGGGTATTAAAGAGGGCACGTACTGAATGGAGCACTGGGTGTTATACGCAAACAATGAATCATGGAACACTACATCAAAAACTAATGATGTAATGTATGGTGGTTAACATTACATAATAATAATAAAAAAAGAAATAATACAAATGTCTATCAACAGGGAAATAAACTGTGCCATATTCATTCAATTGATATTGTATGACTATTAAAATGAATGAATTAGATCTACATGTATAAAATTGATAAATTAAAAAAATTTAATGAAAAAAAAAGAAATGGGACACAGAAGTAAGGAAATAGAAAAATGGCTTGCCCACAGTCCCCCATCTTCCCACATCATCATGGAATGTTTTCAAACACAGTGGTTTCATGTGGCCTCTGGGGAAAACTCCTATAACAGGGAGCAACCAGGTGTGTGATGTACCACCTTATAGATGTGATTCTCAGTATTCATGGTAGTTATGTCCTAAAAAGGCATTGTGAAAAGTGAATGAGTGAATATTGAACCACTGAGTTCCCAGAGGAGACACAGGGTTAGGTTCCTGAGGAACTCCGGTCACAATATTTTCATCAACCAATCAACACATAACTTTGTTTTATCTGTGTTTCTCTTTCAAGACATCTTATTTAGGGGTGCCTGGGTGGCTCAGTTGGTTGAGCGGCTGCCTTCAGCTCGGGTCATGATCCCAGTGTCCTGGGATCGAGCCCCATTTTGGGCTCCCTGCTCAGCAGGGAGCCTGCTTCTCCCTCTCCCTCTCCCTGCCTGTCTGCCTACTTGTGATCTCTCTCTCTGTCAAATAAATAAAATCCTAAAATAAATAAATAAATAAATAAATAAATAAATAAATAAATAAATAAATAAAATAAAGACATCTTATTTACTATACTGTTGATTCATTAACATTGACTCATGGCCAATAGCACAACAAGTTGTGCCTAAATGAGGCTTACCTAACATATACATTCTCTCTGTAAGGTACTTTACAGCTTTGTTGTTGTGCTTAGGAACACTAGAAAGCACTACAGCACTATATCAGGGGCCACTGTAAAACAGCAAAACCACTAACAAAAAGCACAAAAATGTGAGATATATGGCACTAAACACACAATGAAAGGGACACTTATTTACAGCATGAGAGTAAGAAACAAGAAGGCAGAGTATCTGTTCAATCTCAGCTGGGAAAGTGGGTATCAGGCAACTCAAATTTTTCACCACCAAGCACATATCCAAAAACGACTGCAGTAGCACCATGAGTACTGGCTTTGGGATTACAAATAAATTTTAGCAAGTACACAAATCTGCAAAAATGAGAACTGTGAATTAGGAGCACTGACTCTGTTTTCTCTTATTCTCTCACTCTTCCTTTTCCTTCATTTTTTCTTCCTTGAAAATGCACTGTTCTCCCCACCCCCAATAAAGCCTTAGACCATAAACTTCACCTAACACTTTGTTTTCTAGGGAATGGCTAAAACACAAATCAAATCTTATTTAAAGTTAAATATGTTTGTTGCTTAAAGAAAAAATTAAAATTTTGTACTTGGCAAAAATACACCTGCTTTTGTTTATTTCCTTAGCAAACAGACACCTGCTTTTGTTTATTTCCTGTTATATATTTCTCAGGAAAATAATGCCAGTGGGTATTTCTCTACTTGATGATGAAAACTTTCAAAAATCAAACTAACTACAGCAAAAAGTATACTTACTTTTCACTTTACTAAATTATGTAATGTTACATTAAAAGATGGCACAGAGGTAAATTATTTACTGTTTAAAATTAACGAAAGCATTCCAAGAATGCCCCCATTCATAAAGTTATTTGATACTAGAAATAAATCTAAGGAAAGCTAAAAATATTTATGTTCCATTCAGAATCAAGCGTCACTAAAACAAGGGCTAGTTTAAACGTTAAAAAGAGTATGAAATGAAGAGAAAATTTCTATTCAGAATGGCAACAAATTTATTAAATACTCAGGGATATACTTAAGAATAGTAAAGAAGGAAAATGCCACAACTAGGTCTAATAATTTTAAGGACTTTGGTAGGGTGATAGTGGTATTCATTGGGTGGTGGCAAAATTGAGGTGACACATATCTGGTCAAAAAGCAACGGACAGTCAGTTACCCAATACAAGCTTTGTTTATGATCGTTGACTAGATTTTTTACTTCATGACCACAGCCTCAATAAGAAGCAATGTACTACTTCCCTTATATTTCTATTCTAGATGGAGGAAAACAGACTTCTAAGATCAGTGGAAAAGAATGAAAGGCTCAGAAAAAGACCTAAGAATTTTGTGTAAAGATATAAGCAGCATTTCAAGTCAGTAAAGGGTGGGGTTTGCATTAACTGGTTAACACAATAGAAACTTTGGAAAAAGTATATAAAACAAATGTCAAATGTATTAAAAATTAAATATAAAAACCATAAAACCATAAAAACCATGAAACCATAAAAGAACTAGAAGAAAATCTAGGTGAATATTTTTATTATCTAGATGTGGAACAACCTTTCTAAGTAAGCATGAACAAAGGGGAAAATATGAAGGGAAAAATTCACAGATCTCAATATATAAATATTGAAATCCATTAAAAGAAAAATTTCTAAAACAAATTAAAAACATGGAGAAAACATCTTTAGAATGAATACTAAATATTAAGATTTTGATATACCCTGAGTTCTTATAGATAAATTAAGAAAGATAATCACAAAAGAAAAGCAGCTAAATGATACAATCTATATATATTTAAAAACCACAAAGAGAAAATACAATTGGGAAAAATTGAAATGGAAAAAATATTTGACACCACTTGTAACCAAAGCAATAGAAATCAAGACAAGACATTTGTTATCTATAAACTGGCAAAGATAAGAATCCTATTATCTAGTGTTCAACTGCAGAAAAAATGGTTAAGTCTCAGAGCCTTTGAGTTCAGAGAATAAACTGGTACAATTCTTCCAGAAGGTCATATGGTGACTCTTTAAAGTGCTGCAGACCATTCAACCAGCTATTCAGCCTTTAGGAATTAACTCTAATGAAATTATTTTGACCTACACAAAGATATAACTAAAAGAACATCCATCTCTGGGGTGCCTGGGTGGCTCAGATGGTTAAGCGTCTGCCTTCGGCTCAGGTTACGATCTCAGGGTCCTGGGATCGAGCCCTGCATCGGGCTCCCTGCTTGGCGGGGAGTCTGCTTCTCCCTCTCCCTCTACTGTTCCCCCTGCTTCTGTTCTCTCACTCTCTCTGTCAAATAAATAAATAAAATCTTTAAAAAAAAATAAAAAATAAAAATAAAAGAACATTCAACTCAAAGCAGTTTACAATATAGAAAAATTGAGAAACAACCTAAAATTCCAAAAACTGGGGTATGTTTAAATTATGGTACAGCTGGGGTGCCTGGGTGGCTCAGTCAGTTAAGCGTCAGCCTTCGGCTCAGAGCATGGTCCCAGGGTCCTGGATTGAGCCCCACGTTGGGCTCCCTGCTCACCGGGGAGCCTGCTTCTCCCTCTCCTTCCCCACCACCTGTGCTCTCTCTTGCTATCTCTCTCTCTCTCAAATAAATAATCTTTAAAAAAAAAATTATGGTACAGCTTAGAATATTTAATGTCTAAGTAAAATGTTCATAGTATTGTGCTTGATTTAAAAAAAAAAAAGTGTTTGCGGCGGGGGGTTGGTGGGAGAGGGGTGTTTGGTAATACAGTGCTTACTATTTGCCAGGCATTGTCCTAAGAATCTTAAAAATATTAACTCATTTAATCCTTGTAATAGCCCAAAATGAATTAGGTATTATTATCTCCATTTTAGTTTACAAAACAGTATTATAGTATAATTTTTGTTCAAAAAATGTTAAAAAAGACACATATAATGTACATATACCCTCAAGCATTAATTAAAAAAGACTCAAAGGTATTTAGCAAAATGACAGAAATAGTTATCTCCAAATTAATATATGACTTTTCTTTTTATTTGAAATAGTTAAGTGTTTAATAAAAACATATATTACTTAGTTATAAAGAAAAATGTTATAAAAAATAAATTAAAATATATAGAAAACCAACTCACGTGTATTATTCACATGTAGGAATTTTCCTCAGTGTTAAGGTAAGTAATTCATTGCTTCTGATTAAGACTATGGTCATGAGGTGAAAAATCTAGTCAACAATCATAAATAAAGCTTGTATTGGGTAATTGACTATCCATTGCTTTTTGACCAGATATACTTCACCCCAATTTTGCCACCACCCAATACACAGCAATTTTGCCTGCTTTATCAGGTCCTAAGACATAAAAAGCAACCTAAATCTTCATCACACTATTTGAATACAAGTTTAAAATATATTTGACTATAATACTTACTAGAGATTTGACTTCTACAAATCAGTTAACCTCTACGCCCCGGTTTTCTCACCAATAAAAAGAAAATAATACCTTCCTCAAAAGGCCAGGTACAAAATGTTTTAACTCTTAATACCAATTCAATAACTAAATTTCTTAACTACTTCGTAAATTTCTGTAAATTTTATGGCCATTACTTACCGGCAGGATAATTCTCCATCCATAGCATCATGTTCATCTGTACTGGTATATGTTAACCTTCCTCCAACAACTGTCCCAACTAAGTATACCAGCCATGCAAGACGTCCTAATAAGAAAGAAAAATGTTTAGAAAGTATTGATAGAAACAATGCTTATTTTGCAGGAAATTCTAAAACTGGCAAAATATCTACTCTTCCAAACAAGTGATAAACTACTGTGAACTCAGTCCCTGACAGAGTAGAGAGTGGGTTTTAAGTTTAGCAAGGCAGTAAAACAGTAAAAATGACAGACTTTAGAGCCAGAAAAAACTATGTTCAAATCCTAGTTCAAACAATTTGCTATGTGATCTTGTCTAAGTTATTTACCTCTTTACATCTTAGGGTTTTCATTTGAAAAATGGAGAAAATAAGATCTACTGTGAAGACTTATGATTAAAATTAAATTTGGTAACAAAACACCAAAAGTAATGTCTAGATCCAGGGCTGTTAGTAAGTACTAATATGATCCAATGAGCAGCATCTTTTCTGAATGGTCAATGTCATGATCATACCAGTCTGATCATTTTTAGTATTAGTTCTGCTTGAACCATAATAGATGGTAATAAATGTATTGCCTTTGTATTTTTATGCATAACTTTTTAAAATCCAAGACTGTCACCATTCAAATCACATAGTTTGACGACCAAATCAACTTCGTGGACAATATTAGCAAGGGATTAAATAACTTTACAACAGCGGCACACATGGAATCTACAGTTTTCACAAATCTTATTTTGGGGCAGCCAAAATTGAGTGGTTCAGACATGGAGTTATTTATTGAATAATTTTTATTTAAGCCTATTATTTTACATCTCTAGATTCACTGATCTATGTATCAGATTCTCCAAAAATTTTAAGACCTTTATGAATAATTAACAACATACCAATTATCTTGCTAAAAAGAAATTTTGTGCTATTTTTAGGGACTGATTTTTCAAAGATGACCAGGATATTTCATATTACCAAAATCAATTACATTTCTGTATTGAGAAACCTTCTCAAGTGAACTAAAGTATTTTTCACAAGGTATTGACTGGAACAGTCATAAAAAAAGATGTCTGTGCTTATTGGAAGACTTAGGAAGGATAAATACCTACAGAAAAAGAGCACTTTCTTCCTATATTCATACTGTGAATACTAGCAATCATTACCACTTATCAACTCCCTCTGACTTCTGGAGAGACATCAGCCTAGTGAGGTGACAAACTTCCTGTAAGTTAGAAATACAACTTGGCAAGTATCCACATACCCTGTTCTATCATAAAACAATGAATAAATCAGAACAGACCAATTATGCAGCCTTGGACATTAACAATGTCAAACAGCCAAATCGGTAAAAACACCAATTTGATTAAGTAATTCATAAAACAGACTCAAGCTTCAAGATACATATAATTAGCATTAAAAAAAAGTAACAGAACAAAAAGCCCATGTAGGAAACTGAAGGTATTAAGAAAGTTACCTATATATTTCAAAATTGTTTTATGACTAATATAAAAGTCTATTAATAACATACACTATCCCCTGACGACCCTACTTCCTCTCAGGTGATTTCTCTTCCACACCTCTTGTATCTCAGGATTCCAACATGGAAGTAGGTGTTCTTGATGTTCCTCATTTCCCCTTCCAAAACATACTCCCTCTCCATCATAAAAGCACTCAGCTTTACATCTCATGTCATCAAACTATACTACCACATACCCCTTCTGGTTGCGATAATCTACTCTCCCTCAGGTTATTTTCCCTTATTTTTTGAAGATGTTAGTTTCAGGCTTGCTGTCACTTTTTCCAATAGTATTTCTATCATAATCAGCAGTAATTTCAATACGTACAAAGATGAATCTTCCAACTCCAACAATCCTTTGTTCTACTGGGAATCGCTAACACATGAACCTATCACTTTCTTTTTTAAACAATTTTACTGAAATATAATTCACATACCATACAATTCACCCACTTAAAGTATATGACTCATTTTTTTAATAAATTCACAGGGTTGTACAACCACCACCATGACCTAATTTTAGAATATTTCAATTTCTCCCAAAAGAAATTCCACTCTATACCCCTTAACCCCACCCCCAGCCCTAACTACTAATCTACTTTATGTCTCTTCAGATTTTTCCCATTCTGGACATTTCATCTGAATAGAATCATTTAACATGTGGTCTTTGTAACTGTCTTCTTTCACTTAGCATAATGTGCTGAAGGATCATCCCTATTGGGAGTTTATATTGGTACTTCATTTTTTATAGACAAAAAAACTATTCCATTGTTCGAACTGATGGTTGCCAGAGGGGAGGGGGTTGGAGGATGGGGTAAATGGGTGAAGGGGAGGGGGAAACACAAGCCTCCAGTTATGGAAATGAGTAAGTCATGGGAATAAAAGACACAGTATAGGGATTATAGTCAATGAACTATAATACCATTGTATGGTCACACATGGTAACCACACTTGTGGTGAGGATACCATAAGGTATAGAGAAGTTGAATTACTATGCTATATACCTGAAACTAATGGAACACTGTGTGTCAACTATACTAAAAAAAATTCCATTGTTGGACATATCACATTTTATTTATCTATTCATCAGCTGATCGGCATTTGGGTTGTTTCTACATTTTGGCTTTAAAAATAATGCTGCTACTCAGAAGCAGCCCAAGTGTCTACTGACTGATGAATGGATAAGAAGAGATGGGGGATATATATGTATGTATGTGTATATATGTATGTATGTATGTATGTATTTATTTATTTATATATATATATGATGGAATAGTAGCCATAAAAAAGAATGGAATCTTGCCATTTGCAATGACATGAATGGAGCTGGAAGAGTATTATGCTAAGTGAAATAAGTCAGTCAGACAAATACCATGAGGTCACACATATGTGGAATTTAAGAATCAAAACAAATGAGCAAAGGTGGGGGGAAGAGGCAAACCAAGAAACAGACTCTTAAGTATAGAGAACAAACTGATGGTTACCAGAGGGGTGGTGAGTGAGGGGAGGAGTTAAACAGGTGGTGGGGATTAAGGAGTGCACTTGTTATGAGCACCGAGTGCTGAATGGGGAAGTGTTCAACCACTATATTGTACACCTAAAACTAATATTATACTGTATGTTAACTAACTGGAATTTAAATAAAAACTTAAAAAAATAATACTGCTATGAATATTTGTGCAGTTTTTATGTGGATATGTTTTAATTTCTCTTGGATATACCGAGAATTGGAATTACTGAGTCATATGATACCTAGATTTTTAACATTTTGAGGAAGGGCTAAACTGCTTTCCAAAGCAGCTGTACCACTTTACATTCCCACCAGCAATATAAAGGTCCAAATCCTTCTCAACACTTGTTATTATCTGTCTTTTTTATTATATCCATCCGAGTGAATGTAAAGTGGTATCTTGTAATTATGACATGTCCTTCCCTGATGACTAATGGTGTTGACCATCTTCACATATGCCTACTGGCCATTTACATATCGTCTTTGGAGAAAAGTCTATTCAAATCCTTTGCTCATTTTTAAGATTTTATTTATTAGAGAGAGAGAGCACAAACAAGCAGGGAGAGGGGCTGAGCAGGAAGGAGGAAGTGAGGGAGAGAGAATCTCAAGCAGACCCTGCACTGAGTGTGGAGCCCAACTCGGGGCTCAATCCCACAACCCTGAGATCAGAATGTGAGCCGAAACCAAGAACTGGACACTTAACTGACTGAGCCACCCAGGCACCCCTCCTCTGCTCATTTTTAATTATGTTTTTTTTATTAGTGAGCTGTAAGAGTTCTTTATGTATTGTAGATGCAAGTTCCTTATCAGATATAGAATTTGCAAATATTTCCTCCCACTTTCTGGGTTGTATTTTCACTTTCTTGATAGTATCCTTTGAAGTAGTCTAAGACTTTTAACTGATGTAGTCCAAATTTTGAATTTTTCTTTTGTCACTTTAGCTTTTGGTGCATATCTAAGAAATCACTGCCCAACCAAAACTCATGTTTTCTTCTGAGTTTCATAGTTTTAACTCTTACATTTAGGTCTATGATTCATCTTGATTTAATTTTTGTGTATGGTGGGAGACAGTGGTTCAGCTTTACTCTTTGCATGTGGTATCCAACTGTCTCAGCACCATTTGTCAAAAAGACTATCCTTTTGACACTGAATTGTCTTGCCACTCTTGTCAAAGAGCAAATGATTATAAATTGGAGGATTTCCTGGACTGTCAATTCTATTTTACTGATCTAATGTCTATCTTCATGCCAATTCCACAGTCTTGATTACTGTTGCTTTTTAATAAATTTTGAAATCAGAAGGTATGAATCTTTAAACTTCATTCTTTTTCAAGCTTATTTTGAATATTCTGGGTTTCCTGGATTTCCTTATGAATTTCAGGATCACTGTGTCAATTCCTGCAAAGAAGCCAGCTGGGACTTAAACAGAGTTTGTGCAGAATCTGTAGGTCAATTTGGGGAGTATTGTCATCTTACCAATATTAAGTCTTCCGATCCATGACCATAGGTGCCTCCACATGTAGATCTCTAATTTCTTTTGACAATAGTTTTACAGCGGTCAGTGTCTAAGTATAATGCTTCTTTTTTTAAACTTATACCTAAGTATTTTATTCTTTTTGATGCTATTTTAAATTGAACTGATTTTCAGTTTTGATTAATTGGCAATCTATAAGCCTACTATTGATTTTTATTGATCCTGTGTCCTGCAACTTTGTTAATCTCTTATTAATACTAACAGTTTTTGGGATCTGCCATTTCTTCAGTCTCTTACAAGCTTAACGTCTTCTCCATCCTGCTTAGGTAGCTTCACTTCCTTTTTTTTTTTTTTTTTTTGGTTACTTTTTTTTTTTGCTCAATCCTCAATCATCAAAATCTCTGTCTTGACCACTTCAACTCCTCTCTTGCTCTGACACACTCATCTTACGACCCTAATTGTTTAAATCCAATTCCCCAGGTAGTCTTTGCCTATACTCACACAATTTAATATAACTGGAGAAAGATACAACCATGCTGACCAGTCTCACTTTGTATTCACCTTTTCAGTAAGGCCTTGCA